CTCGCCTCCCCTCGCGTCCGGGTTCCGAAGGGCCCGCCCTGCCTGTGTTCCACAGCCCTATCCTCTGGTTCCCGGCCAGACGCACGGAGGGGAAAATGCGGCTGCATCCCCGAGGGGACTGACGGGGACCTCCACCCTCCTCGGTGGCAAACCAAGGGGTCCCCAGTTTCCTAGCCAGGAGCTGTGGCCAACCTCTGCGCGAAGCAACGGGCCACGCTGCAGGACCACGAAGCCAGGCAGCTGGGTCGACTCCTGCAGGGTGTTCTCTCGTGAGTGACTCCCGAGCTTTCCCGCTTCCCAGGCCCCTTAGATACCGCCTGCGCTTCAAATCCGGAGACTGACGGCGTCTCCGGAATGCGCCGCAGTGCTGCGAGTTCCCCGCCAGGGGGAGAGCCGCGCGGGTTTGGGCCTGAGCGAAGCGGGCCGGGCTGCAGTTCTCCAGGGAAACTGCCCAGTCCGGCCGGGGACAGCGGAGAGCCTGCGTATTGTGAAGCCGGGGAAGGCTCGGCTTGGTTTTCCTACCCGCTCCTCAGTTCTGGTTGATCGGAACTTAAGAGTGTCTTTGAGCCTAGCATAGGCTATCCGCCCTAGATATGGCTCCTAGCTCGAGAGGCCACCCTTTGCAGTAGGGACCAGGTGGCAGGTGCTGTGTATTAATGAAAAGCTGTGGGCTAGACAGGCCCCGAGAGACCTGGGCTCTGGCGCTAGCCCCACCTGTAATTAGCAATGCAATAACTAAATCATTCCCCGTCTTAGAAACACAGATTTTTCATAATAATGTTATAACGCACAAAGCCTAGTAGTTTGCAAAGCCCTCTCCAGACATATATTCTCCTCCAGTAAAATGAGGATAAGCGCTGGTTATCCAGATCCCTTGGGAAATGCATCTTTTACCACACCATGTTTCCATAGTATTTTAAGCACAATGTCTCCAGAGAAGTCTGGGGGTGTAGCCTAAAGCATTCTGAAAGTCTTGTTTTAGCTTTAATATTCGTATGAATTCTGCATTGTACTTCGTAATTTTTTTTCTTTAATAAAACAGCTACCTTCTCAAAAAGATCTTTTAGTAAAATTTAAGATTATATACTAGGAAGATGTATGCTTGTCCTGTGACATTACTCATTTTTTTTTTTTCCAGTGAATACTTATTTGGCATATGTACGGGCCAGATATAGTCCTTTTCCACCAGAGCTCACAGTAGGCTGAAGGAAATAGGTATTCAACTATTAGACTGGCCAGGCACGGGGACTCACGCCTGTAATCCCAGCACTTTGGGAGGCCGAGTACGGCAGATCACTTGAGGCCAAAAGTTTGAGATCAGCCTGGTCAACATGGCGAAACCCTGTCTCTACTAAAAATACAAAAATTAGCCGGGCGTGGTGGTGCACGCCTGTAATCCCAGCTGCTGGGGAAGCTGAGGCATGAGAATCGCTTAAACCGGGAGGCGGAGCTTGCAGTGAGCCGAGATCGCGCTACTGCACTCCAGCCTTGGCGTCTCAAAAAACAAACAAATAAAACAATCAGACAAAGTGCAACTGTGATAAATTCTCAACTGCAAAGGCGCTAAGGTGCACGGGAAAACCTAATGTAGACTCCAGGACTAGGTAAGGCTTTCTAAGGAAACGACATTTCAGATCCCCCAGGAGAGGCAGCAGTGAGACACTTCCAGGTAAAGGGAAGGAAATGTCAAAAGACCCAAGCAGGTGGGGCGGAAGTGAGATGAAGCTGGAGAGGCAGGCAGCAATCAGAACCTCAGGAGACCTTGTGGACTGTTTTTAAATAATAATTTTGTCTTATGAGCCTGGGAAGTCAATGAAGGGTTGCCAAGATTTGGGAGCAGGCAAGCAGGATTACATTTCGGTTCCTGAAAGATCGCTGAGGTGTCTTGTGAGGAATTGATTCGTGGAGGGTCAGGATCCAGGGCCGAGGGAGTCTGAGCTTATCCTACTTAGTGGGTGTTTAGAGTTTTCTGTTTTTGCGCTAACTGCTCTTTTGATTGTTTTTAGTTCTTGCCTCTGCTCTCCTGTGTACTCATCTAGGAGGCTTTCAGAGTGCTTCTCTGTAATGGTTTTTGTTTTGTTACTTTTAATCCACCGCGGTTTTAGGAAGGAAATTAACCTTGTTAAGATGTAAGAGAATATAGGTTCTGAGTGAGAGGCTCTTTTCTGTGCATACACTTACTGCTGTTTGGTTTGCTATCTCAGAGATCTTTCTGCTTATCTTCTACTTTTTGTGTTGCGTTTCCAGTTAGACTAGGTTCTTAGATAAATGAATGAAGGTTACATTATTGCTTTAATAATATCCTCGAATCTTACCTCACAGGATTTTTGTGTAAAGAAAGTATGTGAAATTTCTCTGCAAAGTATTACGTGCCATATAAAGAAAGGTAATCATTGTTAGTTATAATGGTAGCCTAGAGACCTCCAAAACTAATTATGTACCAAATGTTCATATGTGGAAATTTCCCTCCCTCCCCCACCCCTATGAAAAACACATATTCCTATTTCTTCCAGATAGCATGAATCATTGTCTTAAGTGCTATTGTTACTCTTGCCTTGGCTGGCAGGAAACTCAAAGCCAAATTTTCAGATCGTCGTAAGAAATGAGTGGATCCACATGGCATGTAGATCCATGTCTCAGTCCCTCCTTTGGTCTTGTTCTATTCTATTTCTAGATTTCCTGTGCCTGCTTTATTGTTTTTCTTTTTAGTAGATCTTTCATAAGGCACTCCAATCCACCTTCTCCTGTTAACAAGGGTCGAAACTGCTATTCGAGTGTTTCAGGAAGCAGTATATAAAATACTGGCAGCCAGGCATGTTGGCTCATGCCTGTAATCCCAGCACTTTGGGAGGCCAAGGTGGGACGATTATTGGAGGTTAGGAGTTCAAGACCAGCTTGGGCAACATAGTAAGACCCCCATCTCTCAAAAAAAAAAAAAAAATTAGTGGGCATGGTGGCGAATTCCTGTAGTCCTAGCTACTTGGGAGGCTGAGATGGGAGGATTGCTTTAATCCAGGAGGTTGAGGCTGCAATAAGCTATAATTGTGCTATATAGCACTTCTGCCTGGGTGATAGAGCAAGACCATGTCACTAAAAATAAAATAAAACACTGGCAACCTGCTGACCATTGAAGCAGGTAACAATAGTATAGACACTGTGCCAAGTGACTTGGGTTTAAAGTAAAGCCTTCACCACCACTGCATGTGCACCTAAAGTCTCTGTGCATGCCAATTTAAAACTTCATATTATTGGTAAACTTAAATATGTCTCCCAATGGCTCATAGTTTAATCTCTGAGGTCCCAAACTCTATCAGCCTACACTATACCTACAAATACAGACGGTTCCTGTCTTATGATGTTCGACTTAGAAGTTTTTGACCTTACTTTTGGGCTTATCAGGGTATTAATTTTTTTTTTTTTTGGTCAGTGTCTCACTCTGTTGCCCAGGCTGGAGTACAGTGGTGCAGTCTTGGCTCACTGCAACCTTCACCTCCCTGGTTCAAGCGATTCTTCTGCCTCAGCCTCCTGAGTAGCTGGGACTATGGGTGCCCACCACCACGCCCGGCTAATTTTTGTATTTTTAGTAGAGACAGGGTTTCACCATATTGCCCAGTCTGGTTTCAAACTCCTGACTTCAAGTGATCCACCCGCCCCAGCCTCCCAAAGTGCTGGGATTACAGGCATGAGCCACTGTGCCTGGCCTTAAGTGCATTTTTGACTTATGTAACCCCACCATAAGTCAATGAGTGTCTATATATCTTACTGTCACAAGCACTGTTTGTCACTTGGCAAAAGGACAGAGATTCAAAAACTTTTATTCATTTAGGGTTCTTTTTGTCAATAAAGACTTGAAAATTCCATTATTCACTACATCCATTCAAACTCCACAAGAGTGTGACCATATCTTCCAGCTTTTGATGTAGTTCTGGACAGCTTAAATTGGACATCCTTCTGATATAAGTTGATACTTTTCCTTGATTTCAAGTTCTTAAGTGATTACCCTCTTTCTGTATCAGTCTTTGAGCTTATGAGCTGAGGTTGTATGTAAAACAAGCATCGAACAACCTTCGGTAATCTGGTTTCTCTTGAGGATTTCAGTTCTGCTAATATTTAGTAATCCAGCATAATTTCTAAAATATTGTATAGCCTTTTTGTTACAGGATTTAAAGTGTACGAAAGAAATATACAATTATGAGATGTATGTATCATAAACTTCAATAAATTTGCTTGTATATGCTGATTCTTATTTCACCAGCTTTTTTTCTGGGCGTAAAATCTGTCCAGAGAAATAATGCCCTTCTTTTCTTTTTTATTCTCCAAACAGGCCAGGCTCCTTCTCTTTTTCTCCCACTGTGCCCTTTAATGAGTCCAAACAGAATTTTGTATGATGTGTTTATCTGATACATTGGAAGACATTCTGGTGCCCCATATGGTAATTCTACCTCTGACAATGAAGTTTTTGAGTAAATAATATCACGGGAACATACTGACTTTTAAAAATGGTTGTAATCCCATTCTCTGAACCATACTCCATGACCAGGAGCTTGGGTTACACTGACTAACTTAAACCACTCAGCTCCCAGTCCTGGAGCTGGGTCAGTCCTCCCCAGACCACATGGCTGATTGAGGATAGAGCAAGATCTGGTGACTACAAAAAGGGTGAAATGGGAAGAGGGAAACAAAAACATCACCTTCCCTGTTCATCTCAGGCTTATAATAGTGAAAAACTATAAACTTCAATGTAAATGTACCACAATAAGGAAATTGGTGTATAGATCAGTATGACTGTACAGTGGAATACTATGCAGTCTTTAAAGATACCATATGCACAGAATTTTTTTTTTTTTTTTTTTTTTTTTTTTTTTTTTTTGAGACAGAGTCTTACTCTGTGGCCCAGGCTGGAGTGCAGTGGCCCCATCTCGGCTCACTGCAACCTCTGCCTCCCGGGTTCAAGCGATTCTCCTACCTCAGCCTCCTGAGTAGCTGAGATTACAGGCGCCTGCCACCATGCCCGGCTAATTTTTGTATTTTTACTAGAGACAGGGTTTCACCATGTTGGTCAGCTGTTCTCGAACTCCTGACCTTGTGATCCGCCCACCTCGTCCTCCCAAAGTGCTGGGATTACAGGCGTGAGTCACTGCGCCCGGCCAGATTTTTTTTAATAACATGGAAAAAGTTAATTTTACATCTTAACTGAAAAAGGCTAGATACAAAATTGTGTAGATGATGGCCATAACTTTTAAAAATGCACGGAAAATAATACATCAAAATGCGAATGGTAGCTCACTCAAGTAATAGGGTTATTTTCTTCTTCCTATGTTTTG